ACGCTGCCATGTACATGGTTCATTTTTTAGGCTGAACATTAACTGTTGAAAAATCAAAAAGCATTACTTCCTTTTCCTGAACGACCTAAATGAATTGTGTTTGAATATGCTTTTCAAGTTTTGATAAAGTAACCTTTGAGTTGGGGAGATTTAATGGAGTGAGCTTTTTATTGTACTCAAAATATCTCAAAATTTATTGAAAAGGCAACCGAGCCAGCCGAGCTAAATTCATCTACAAAGGAATCGTTTGGTAACTGTTTATGTAATATCTTTTCTTGTAATAATGCTCTGCAGGTTTACGGCCAGTTTTGTTTCATACCGATAATAATTTTTTTCGCCACGAAACAAAACAGTCGCAAAGAAAACCGAGATATAGTTCTATTTCATAAATACTCTATTATCTATTTCATATAATTTATACATATACATCTCTTTATATATATAGTATTTTTATAAAACCATGTGTCACCAAATAAAACTTAATTAATAAAAAGCACCGCGTTGAAAAATAGTAAAAACTTACCGATTTAAGCATACAGTCTTTCTATATTGTATCGTATCTCAGCTACTGGATACGTCTAAAACCTAAAGTGATTTTTCGAATATTGAAACAGTCCCATTAGAAGTCTCTTCTTGCATATCGAGCGTTTTGGATAAAAAAAGTATCATCACCGAAAAATCCGATTACATAGCGCTTCCTCAGTCCGTGTTCCTATACGACTGGGCTAATAATTCAGTATACGTTAGGTACATATAATATATTTATAAACGCAGTCTAAACTATCATTTTTAAAAACTAAAATAAGTCCTTACTATTTCCTAACTGGTGTCCGAACGTTACATAGTATCAATAGTGTATATATAAATTTAAATCTTAAGTGTAGAATAGCGTGTTACTCAAGTGGCAGATATATATAACTCTCGCTTTCAAAAAACCGCTAAACTTTCAAACACAACTAAATCAGCACCTAGAACTTGGAACGCAAAAAGTTCCGTCAACTACGGATCCGCCCGGAAAAGCGTCCGCAATTCCGGACGCCCCGTACAAATTTTATAATAACAAACAACTAATGAAACGTTGTACTTTCAAATCAGGGCCTGGCTCGACGAAGCGGTTCGGCGGTTCTTCAAATGACCTTCGGTGTGGAGAGATCTGCGCTGGATCGTCTAGTAAATTTCCATGTCACAACATATTAACGAAATTAAAGTTTTATATTTATTATGTATTTAAGGCCGATACAATCAGTGAGAAGGAATCTGAAACAAAAGAAACAGGTTCGGTTAGCGAGTTGTTTAAGTTTGAGGTCGGTCCAAACAGATCGAAGATGTTTTTGAAAATCTAGTGTGTGTACCAAGTTCAATAGTTTTCGCCAATTTCACTGAACTGAAATATTTTGTTATCCATAACGAATTTGAAGGTGTGCTACTTGACTCTGTTATTTATTTCATTATCTAGTTAGTCCAATATACGTTATATCACTAGATCGAAAGTAATGATGAAGAAAGATTTCAACAATTACATTATAAAGAATCCCCACAAAATGCATTTGAATGATCATGAAGCAGAAATGGTCATGAGAAAATTTTTCCCATTGAGTGGGAAACATGTGTTTACCGAAAACCCACACACACGGGACAGTATCTGAATCACGAATCCAAACACCGTCAATCGACTAAAAGAGGAATCATCAAGACTCTATTAGACCGTGCTTTCGGGCTCTGTAATACGAAGGAAGGTGTCGAGAAGGAACTAGACATCATCAAAAATTATCTTCAACGGAATGGTTACTCCGAAGCGATGGTGAAACAGACTTTGGTTAAAAGACAGCAGGAGCCTCGCAAGGAAGAAAAGCCGTCACAATCAGCGCTTGCACTTCCCTATATCAGAGGATTCTCGGAAGGGATAAGAAGAATTGGGTCCAAGAACATCAGAACCTGCTTCAGATCCGGAAACACTATCCGTAGCAGCCTCACGAAAACCAGGCCACCAAACGCGGACTGCGATTCCAAGAATTGTATTTACCGGATACCCTGTGAGTGCGGAAAATCCTATATTGGTGAAACTATGAGGTCATTGAAAATTCGCATTGCCGAGCACAAGAAACACACACGGCGAGCGGCGAGCAGATCAGGAATAGCAGAGCAGGTTTGGACCCATCAACATAACATCGAGTGGTCCCAATCTGAGATCATACACAGGGAACACTGGTTCAGGAGGAAATTCAAGGAAGCCGTATACATGTTGTCCAACAATTTATTCATCCAATCTAGCGTAGAGATACGCAACATATTTTCCGAATTCTTCTTTTGATTAGTTCTTTCAGAGATTTCAAATAATTTTATATAGTATCAGACAATGGAAGTCCGAACTGATGAAATTCATCATGAAACATTGTCAATCACCTTCAAACAAAAGCATTTGTGTTGACGAACAAAATACATTTTCGCAGGACCAATTTACTGAAACGGATAATAATTATTATTCATCAGAAATCATTTCAAGCAAAAAAAAATCGAACAAGGTTTATTAGAATAAGATATTAATAAAGGCCAAGGACCTGACCAAATACCTGCAATTTTCTGCAAAGACTGTGATCATTTTCTATGTACACCTTTAACAATTTTTTTTTAAATATGTCTTTTCATAGTGGGTATTTTCCTGTCAGTTGGAAAGTAGCAAGAGTAATACCCATTTTTATAAACGAACGGAAATATGATGTAGAAAATTATCGTCCAAAAAGCAAAATATCAACGATACCAAAACTATTTGGTATCGTTGTCTGATAGGGATTTCCAGAAAGAGCTGAATTTGATCAAACAAATTGCGGTTAATAACGATTATAAGGTAGATATTATAAACGCCATTCTTCCAAAAAACTACAAAAGCAAGTCATGGACTTGGTCTACCCATATTCAAGATGCGATAACGTCAGTTATAGGACATTGGCATATTTGGGTGAACCAACCAGGAATATTGGCCGTTTTTTTGAAGAAAGAAGGTGTAAACGTAGCTTACAGAACGAATAATAATCTAAGTAAATTTATTAAAAACAATAAAGACAAAACTTCGGTGACTTGTGGCTCTTGTCCACGCCCGAGGAAGCCATTGTATGGCGAAACACGTGTTGCGTTTTTGTAAAACTGTCTAGTGAAAATCACACAATAAAGTGTTTTTAGAATACGTTATTTTGAAAATCGTTAGTTTGATCTGTTTGGAACAACCTAGTGCAAGGGTTGGTCAAAGTTAACCTTTGATATTTCATCAAGCATGGTTATTTGGTTATACTTACAGTAGCTACCCTAGACTGTCTCTAAGGACAGTTTTGGAGACGCGTTCAACTGTCTACACTGAATAGTTCTTTATGCAATGCAGGAAATTCCAGGTGAGGAGCAGACTTTTTGAGTTTTCCAAGCGCAGCCATGTGTAGGCTGCTTATGTCTCTGAAATAAATTATAATAACGTTATTTGATTTTGTCTTCATGACTATTTTCTTAAAATTGACCTTGTATAAAGCAACTTCATAAAATATCTATATCTGTATAACAAAAAATTATCTTCACTTAAATTTTGTAGGTCATCACAGATACGTTTTGTGAGGTTACTGTACCATAGATCACAAAAACGCCAAATCATCTAAAGAAGAAGAATCTTTACTCAAAGCAGATGTCATANAAAAGAAAAAACATGGTTTCCATCTGGGTTTACTGGATGTCTCAAAATTCATCATTTAAAAGAAGATATGATGTCAATGTCACATCTTTGTTTTCACTTTGTCGATACACTCTGCATTCCTTTTTTTTTCATTTGATGTGCTGCACGTTGTGGTCCGATTATTATTAACGAAGATGTGGCTTAGTGCCCTTCTGACATGTTTCGCCATCTTCGTTTTTACTTTGTCGATACATTCTGCATTCCGTTCCCTTTCATTTGATGTGGTGCACGTTGAGATCCGGCTATTATTAACGAAGGCGTGACTTAGTACCCTTCTGGCTGCCATCTCTGTTTTTTTCTTTGTCGATTAATTCTGCAATCCTTTCCCTTCCATTTGACGTGCTGTACGTGACGATCTGATTATTATTAACGAAGATGTGGCTTGGTTTGAGACATTTTGTACACATTGACGTCATGTTTTCTTTCAAATGATGTATTTTGAGACACCCTGCAAACCCAGATGGAAACCATGTTTTATTCTTTTACGTTGGCAGCCATGTTTTTTTAAACACTGAACTGAATGCCTCGCCGTCATGTTTTTTCCTCAATCCGATTTTTCATTCATTATTACTAATATTTTTATAATTCAGCCGTGGTATATCTCGTTAAAGTGAGAACAATTTGAATTTTCCGCTGTGCACACGGTAGCTTCTGATTGGTCGATTGGGTAATGACGAAAAGTGGAGGAGTGGGAGTGGACTGTAGTGGGGCCATCCCTACTAAATATACTATGCCGTTTCTGGCTCAAAATCCCATGCTTTTTGTTATGGAGCTTAATTTTAGTCATTTTCGGACCTCGTAGCGGAACCTTGTGGAACACCCAACTCGAGGTAGATGTGACGTGTGTAAGAGTTATACGATGCAATAAGTATGTGTATATGAGGAAGGAGGTGATGACGTCATCATCTACCTCGAGTTGGGTGTTCCACAAGGTTCCGCTTCGAGGTCCGGAAATGACTGAAATTAAGCTCAATAAGAAAAAGAATGGGATTTTGAACCAGAAACGGCATAGTATATTCACTTCCTGAGCACACAATTTTCATGTTGACGGAAATCAACGACTTGTGTTACGTTGCCAAAAGTGCACTGATTCAAATGGCGCTCATATCAATTGAACTGAATGAGAATTCACCGAGATATTACAGCTCAAAGTAGATTCATAACAACGGACATAACTAACCTAATAAAGTTGTTACAAATGTTTTGTCAATGAATCAGAATTAGTCTGACATCGAAGAATATTGTAAGAAGTTTCTGATTCAAATTTTGTCCAACAGAATGCTACAGTTTATAGATACTTACCAGGAGAAAGCAATACACACGCTGAATATAAACCGAGTTCCGTTTCTGTTAATTTCAACTCCGCCAAACTTTTCGACATTTCGAAGATGCAAGCAACCAGTTTCATCTCGTTCGTGTCGTTTGTGTAGAAGGCTTCTGCAGGTAGCATCATGTCTCCGTAAAGAACGCAGTTTTGCGACAGGTCCATGTACCTTGACATTCTTATTATCGCCAACTCGAAGCTTCCTATATAAAAAAAGGTTATTTGTAAAGAGATTACTTGTATGTTCCACCACATTCAACTGGAAAGATAAATCGGTACTGTGGAATATCTCAAAGGAAAGAAAAGTTGCCTGCAGATTTTTATGCCTGACATTTCGTCTACGAATGCGGAAGACATTATCACGAAATAGCAAATTGAGTGTCATGGTTATCCTCAAAGTTTCACGTAAAGCCAGACTGTCCCTATGGACATGTCCCAAACAAATCCATTGGATTTGTTTCATGATTGTCAGACCAATATTCACTTATGGGGCAACTGTCTGGTGGCCAAAAGCTTTACAGAAAAAGGTTCAGGCGGAGCTCTCTGGCTTACAGTGGCAGGCTTATCTGGCCTCAGTGGTGCTATCAGTACCACTCCGTCTAGATTTACCTCCTCTCTACATTTTTCTGGAGAGAGAGGCTAATTGGACTGCATATAGACTTGTTGCGGATTGCGGTGGAGGGTCGAATAGATCAACTAACTTTTGACCTAACGTAAGCTATCCTCAAAGCATATACAGCATAGTTCAAGGTTGATTTGAATCATCTGATACGTGTGTAATTACGTGCAAAGAAGTATAGAATGGGATAAAAAGTGGATCCTCTATGACAGCAGAAGACGTTCAGGACAGTGGTTGAACACCAGACACTTCCCAAAGGCAAAAACCCTCCAAAAAACCATGATTATTGTTTGGGTGATGTGTTTCACTAAAAATTTCTGTAACCAGACCAAACCATCATAGTCTTATTGTTGAGAATTCGACAAAATGTACCAAAATTGCGTCAGCAGCAGCTGGCATTGGTCAAAAGAAAAGTTTCGATTCGACCACCATCTTTTCAAGCTCTTCGATAACGTTCTCACCGGTAAAACCTTCACCAATCAGGACCAGGCTAAAATGGCTTTCGTCAACTTTATTGAATCCCGAAGTAGGTATGGCTCCTCTCCAGTCCACCCCCACTCCTCCACTTTTCGTCATTACTCAGTCGACCAATCAGAAGCTACCGTGTGCACAGTGGAAAATTGTTCTCACTTTAACGAGATATACCACGGCTGAATTATAAAAATTATAGTAATAATGAATGAAAAATCGTATTAAAGAAAAAAACATGGCGGCGAGGCATTAAGTGGAGTGCTAAAAAAAATAGCTGCCAACGTAAAAGAAAAAACATGGTTTCCATCTGGGTTTACAGGATGTCTCAAAATTCATCATTTAAAAGAAGATATGATGTCAATGTCACATCTTTGTTTTCACTTTGTCGATACACTCTGCATTCCTTTTTTTTTCATTTATTTGTAAAGAGATTACTTGTATGTTCCACCACATTCAACTGGAAACATAAATCGGTACTGTGGAATATCTCAAAGGGAAGAAAAGTTGCCTGCAGATTTTTATGCCTGACATTTCGTCTACGAATGCGGAAGACAGTATCACGAAATAACAAATTGAGTGTCATGGTTATCCTGAAACTTTCACATAAAGCCAGACTGTCCTTATGGACATGTCCCAAACAAATCCATTGGATTTGTTTCATGATTGTCAGACCAATAATCACTTATGGGGCAACTGCCTGGTGGTCAAAGGCTTTACAGAAAAAGGTTCAGGCGGAGCTCTCTGGCTTACAGTGGCAGGCTTGTCTGGCCTCAGTGGTGCTATCAGTACCACTCCGTCTAGATCTACCTCCTCTCTACATTTTTCTGGAGAGAGAGGCTAATTGGACTGCATATAGACTTGTTGCGGATTGCGGTGGAGGGTCGAATAGACCAACTAACTTTTGACCTAACGTAAGCTATCCTCAAAGCATATACAGCATAGTTCAAGGTTGATTTGAATCATCTGATACGTGTGTAATTACGTGCAAGTAGAAGTAAAGTCAATCTCATCACTAGCGGAATGAATCTGAAGACTCAAACATTGATGTTATATAGTTTATATAACAAACAACCATAGGACTCCATCCGCTGCCTCATCGCTTTTAACAATGCTGCCGCAGTCACAAACGAAACGCCTGACAAAAAATCTGCAAACCACGCCAATGAATTAGTTAAATACGGATTAGAACACAGTTTCGTTATGTTCTTCCTCAATACTCACCGGCTTTCAGGAGAACGATCTGATCGTCTTGCGACAACTTCATGAATCCGGGCACCATCTTGGCGAACTCGATGATTTGCTGGATGATGCCGGTCAATTTCTGGGCGCATTCCAGCCACAATTCTTCGTGGGCCATGTTTTTGTAGTAGACTAACCGCGTCAGGTCGTGCTGCTTCCTGAACATCTCGTGGATGTGGTCGAGGGTGAAGAGACATGTCCGGGTGTGGGCATCCGTTATCGTCTTCAATATTATTTCGGTTATTTGGTTCGGATCTGCAAATGTTTTAATATAATCTAAGGGTTACTCTTAGAGGGTGTGTTTTCGCCTGGAAAAACCAGCGAGGGATCTACTACTATCCTAGCTAGTGCCGCGACGGGCATTGATTACATTTGGAGAGTTTGAAGTCAATTCCAATGATTTATGGGCATTTTGAAATGTAAATACGTTTTTATTGAGGAATAACAAGTGGAGTGGAAAAATGCGACAATCACTGATGATACATAGCTGTATCATCACAGATTTATTTTTTATAGACGTAAAAGCGAATGGATGAATTTGAAAATTATAAATTAGAAATTATTTCTTTCTTTCCCGTTGCGGAAGTACCCCGCTCTCTACAAAAAGTAGGGAGTCAAAAAGGTTTAAAAAAAATTTCGATACATAAACTGATCGATACATGTGACTGATATTGAAGTATCTAGTTTTATGACTGATTTTCATGAACTGTCATTGTGATGGAGAAGATTTGTCTCTTCTTCCACAACATCCAAAAAGGTACTAATTGAAGGGTTGCTCACTGTGTTTGACCCAAAACTTCGGAAATATTAAATCCATCTGGAAAAACGTTTTCAGGCAGTTTATTCTACATAAACGCAGTTCTCCAAATGAAACAGTTCTTAAACAGTGAAGTTCGAGGTGTACTTGGTTTAACCTCAAAACGATGATCAGGCACAGTTTTTCGTGATATCCGAAAAAAAGGTTTTTATTTAGAAACAAATAGCGCTGTTTCTTTATAGCAATTAGGAATCACAAGTTGAAAAGGAAGACCTTGTTAGTCCTTAGCTCGCACATGTTTCGACTTCTGAGGGTTGTCTTTCTAAGGAGTGCGATAACTGGTTAACGGAAAAAACATATTTTAAATATATTTCAAACAAATTTTCCAATTGATAAGCGTCAAAATGGTATATAGTATCTACCAGTGACATATATTCAATTATTATCGATGGAGCTATCTCATGCACGAAACAGTGATTCATTGAAAGAAACGTGTTTTTAGTAGAAAAGAAATATTGACTGTGCAAAAGAGCACGGTTTTCGAATTATCCAAAAAGTAACATAGATGCAGTTCACAGATCACTATCATATTATTGTCCGATTCACAGGGTATTCATATCTCTTTTGCAATATCAATTATCTAATCATCACTCTGAGGTAATATTTGATGATTTGAAATAATGGAAAGCGTTACACACGTGAACAAGACACTATTTGAATTAAGAAAATTTTATGTAGTTAAATAATCTGCAGGAAAATCTTCATGACTGCGTACGTCTGTATACAAACTAACTTCTCAAAAAATATCTGTTAATCGGCGTTGTTGAATTCGTTTTCAAGTAATTTTCACCAAAAAATTGTTGGATATTCCTCTAGAAATCTAACAAGTTTTGATATGATCCGCGGTTTCTAGTTTGATTGTGAATGTGAATAATAATAATGATATTCAAAATTCGAACGAGACGCAAAAAATTGTTCAATACTTCCATGATTTCTTCAATTCCCATACATTATTCGCTAAATAAATATCACATTTCTATACACCAAGAGCAAAACCTGTGTCAAAATATTGTTGAAAACCGCCCCTACGTTTTGAATGTCGCACTTTACCATTCCCATGCCTCATATTAGTAACGGGGTGAACAGTTAAAAGGAACCGGGAGTGTGCCAACTTACTGGGTAACGCTACATCACAATCTTCGCCACTCTGCTGCATGTCACCCGCCGTCAACCCCGCCCCGCCCCCCTGCCTCTGCTGAACGCCCGGCGAGCTGACGAACGTCGTGCTGTCGACGTATGAGGACAGCAGCGGTTCTACGCTCGTCTCCTGCTTCACGGAGACCATCGTACCACCCGAGAGCGAGGTACTGCTCGAAGTCTGGCTGACGCGTTTGAAGGAGAGGGTAGTTTTTGAGTTTGCACCGGAGTTGCCCCCTCCACCGCCACCACTGCCGCCACCACCACCGTTTGGGTTAGTATTGCCTGGCGAGGAAATTACGATGAGAGATCGGGGGAGGAAGGTTGTACTGCTTATACTATTGTTGTTGGTTGAAGGGTTTGGCGTCGCCTTTACTATCGTGAAGCGTGTTTCATTTTTGAAAAATAGCTTGTCGTTTCCGGCAAGGATGTATGTAATTGTAATACTTTTCCCACTAGGACTAAAGCACTGTATATTAACGCGAGTTTCGCTAACCAAGTTAGCATTATCAGGAGATGACTCTGTTGGATACATGTGATTTAATTTGTTTAATGGTGTATTGGAGAATCTAAACGAAATACCAACATATTTGTTGGTTGCATCTGTTTATTCTAATTTCCTGGTGACGCCAAACCCTTTCTGCATACTTGATTATGTCTAAGCTACAATCTTTGTAAACTGCTAGCTCAGTCATAGTCACTTGGTGGATGGGAAATCATGCGGGTGTGAATAAAGACACTACCAAAGATTAACCTATTTTTACATAGAAAAAAAAAAAAAACTAGGCTTTCCTACCTGTATTGACCATCGCGCTGAGGATATTCCCGGTATCTGTTATGTCCATCGGTCGCGGGTCGTAAGCAGTAGTACTGTCTACTGCGTAGTCGGCTGAAATATCGTACGCAGCTATATTATTAGACTGCACTTGGGTCTGGCTGGTGTAGTAAGGGGTAGTATAGGTGCTTAGGTCAGTACTGTAGGAATATCTGAAAGCAAAATTATGGTTACAAAATAGCAAAAGAAGGAATATATATTGGTCATTACAACAAAAATATGGAACTCAATCTCAGAGGACAGGATTGCCCGTTGGACGTATTTCGGTTTTTGTGGCATTGAACTAAATCTTGTTATATTGACCCCCATTCGAAATCACTTCTAGATCCCCATTAAGATATGCAAGATATGCCGGTGAAAAGGTGAATCCGCAGTCGATGTCCTGGGACAATGGGAAGGACGAGACAAGTATGTTGTCGTCAACAAAGCTATGTATTGGATTTTGTTTTTTTTTCAATAAGTCGTTGATATATAATAAAAAGAGGGTTCGAGACAATATGGCTCCCTGAGGAACACCAGCTTTGATAGTAAAAGTATTCGAGAGATAACTCATTTTTTTTGGGTGATCAGCCCTAATTTCTGGCTTGATATCAAAATAAAATAGCCTGTAAGATATGTACATCTCATAAAGAATTGGAAAACTTTTGGTTTGAAAGCACCATTAATGGCAGGACCTGGTCACGTCAGATACTAACACTTTTCAAGTTGGGGCCATTACGTTAAAGTCACCAGGAGTTGCCTTCTGCTAGATACTGACTCATTGTGATGTCCTGGAGAGAGATGGTGTAGATCTGCAAGCAGACGGCCTTGTAATCACGTCGGTTCAAGAGACGTCGGACAACTTTTGTAGTTGGTGCCAGATTGGGCAGAGGTCTCAAAAGACTAGTAAAACTGTTTTCTTCACCAGGAAGAGGATCCTGAATAATTCAACTCCATTTTTGTTTAATGTTGAGGCTATTCCATTCGAAGCAGAAGTGAACTATCAAGGTAGTATTCTCGATAAAAAAAAAACTTCACTTCCATTGAGATACTATGCAAGTTCCTTGATTGATGCAGTTGATGTACTGTTGTAACTGGGCTTGCGAAAGCAAGTTTGGCAGATGAAAGCTCCAAACATTTATACATCAATTTTAGAAGGAATGCCATTCAGACTCTTCCTGTTATAAGAGTGCCATGTGCTAAAAATTCAAATTAGACTTGGTTTGGAATATTCCTCATACAGTTGAAGGTCTTTACCAAGACCGTGGCTTCTGGATTATATCTTGAAGAAATTGATCTACCCTAGAGGGTATCAAAAGTGGAAGTAAAGTTGGAGTTGAGTTCCTCATGATTGAAAAATACTGCGCAAAGTTTCAGGGCAGGGCTGAAAGTGATGTTGGAGGTGAAGTTTCTCCTTAAAATGATGATGAAGACTCGAATGAAGATGAAAACGACAGTAAAGAATATGACAGAAACCCATTTGAAGCCTATAGTGATGATGAGGACTTGAGAGATGGTTCAGTATGTTTTGAAGATGAGGAGGAAGCAGAAGAGTGGGGATATTGGGGACAGAAACCCATTTGAAGCACATAGTGATGATGAGAATGAGATGGTTCAGTATGTTTTGAAGATGAGGAGGAAGCAGNGAAAACGACAGTAAAGAATATGACAGAAACCCATTTGAAGCCTATAGTGATGATGAGGACTTGAGAGATGGTTCAGTATGTTTTGAAGATGAGGAGGAAGCAGAAGAGTGGGGATATTGGGGACAGAAACCCATTTGAAGCACATAGTGATGATGAGGATGAGATGGTTCAGTATGTTTTGAAGATGAGAAGGAAGCAGAAGAGTGGGGATACTGTTTCTTCACATTATCATGGATGAACTGTAGATATTCAAATTATTTTGGGTTTTTTAATGAAAAAAACACACGCTACATTGTCTGTAAGGGATGTTTCGAGAGATGAAACCATATCAACGCCTGCATATGCGCTGATTGAACTTTCTTCTTGTTGACGGCACCCATCATGATGATTACTCATTCATTCGAAATTTAAAGGCATACTTACCCTCCGTTATAGGGGTTATGAAGCTGATCTCCCGTCGATTGCGAAGGTAAGTCGAATACGGAACTGTCGGGGGCGGAATCACGTTGCGTCCTTATTTGCGCTGCGGCCGCCTCCTTCATCTGCTGCTTGTGGTAGTTGACCTCGTCTTCTACTTTCTCGCGCTGCTTTTTAGACATCCTTCCGAATTTGACAGCTGGAAAAGAAGAAATCATTAAATGATTTGTTTTGGGAATGTGTTTCACCATTATGTTTACAACTAGCTTCGGTTACATAGTTCCGCAAGGATCTGTTCTGGACCCTTTCCTATTCTTGAACTACAATGATACATGAGAAAACTGTCGTGAAGTTAATTTTGTCACTCAGGTATGGTTTGAACCAAGCATTTCTATAAATGACTAGCTCAATTTGAAATTTTTTGATATCACAATGTAAAGGGTCTTTCATTAGGCGTTTTCTACTTTGAAATATAAATAAAACAAAGTGTATGTGAGATATCATCGATTTTTTTTATTAAAGCGCATCGGAAACGTGAATTCGAGCTACGACAAAGTGAATTTATATGTTTGTGAAATCTCAGATCAGCATCTAGCCACAGTCCTTGCCTTCTGTAATTATTTGTAGTAAGTCTTGTCCAAGTTTGGTTTCAACTCTTCCTTCAATTTCCCACCTTTTGTGTTTCGGGCCAAAAAGTATCAGCTGAGATTTTTTAGAATTCAATTTCAGGTTATGGGCTATAGATAGATCCAGTAACTTTTGTAGATCGCTGTTGATGTCATCTGCATAATGATGAACTATGCAATGATCAATTATTTTATGAAAGTCAGATATATATAGAGAGAACAGAATGGGGCCAAGTAAGGAGCCCTGAGGTACTCCATAGTTAACAGGAAAAGCACTAGAACATTTTCCATCCAGACATACTGACTGAGTACGATTTCTGAGGTAACTTTTCCAACTAGATCTAGAGTCCCTTCACTTAATCCGAAAGATGACATTTTCCTACACAGAATATTGTGATCTAATGTATCGAATGTAGTCCAAGAGTACCATGGCAGTTACTTCTTCATTATCAGCCTTTCAAAATGTGAAAAAATTCCATTCCCGAAGAAAAATATGAATAAGTATGTGGAAATGTTATCCAAAACTATTGAATATTTGTGAGATCTTCTGAAAGTCAATGGTCTCAGTGGAAAATTGATCGAAAAACAAATACAATGATTATTAAAAATCTGAATGTAACAAAATTGTTGCTTTCAGTTCAATAAAGGTTTTCACAGACAGCACGAAGATAAGGTAATGTCTCCCTTCAGCTAGTTAGATAAATATTTGAATTTCCGCATCAAAGCTCTTAAAAACATTGGTAAATATCCTACCGTAAATGACTATTATTTCTAAATATTCAGTTTACATTGTTTCCTTGATTATTTATATCTAGGGAATGAAAGTTTATCAGATAATGTAACTGAGAAAAAGGATTGGGCCAAAGACGGATTCTTGGGGTAGGCGCCAATTAATTCTTGAAGAAGTAACAGAATAGCTTCTCCATTATTTGAAATAACAAAAAGTTATGTTGGTTTAAGAATACCAATACATTTTTTACATTATCTCTTTATAACTTGTGATCATTCACGAAAATGAAGAATCGAAACCAATTTGAATATCGAACTATTGACATCAACATTAGCGCCGCCGGCAAAAAATCGTATGACCTGCTCATTCGCCATTTTATATACTATTGCAAACTCTTTCGCCATTTTACATACTATGACAAACTCTTTCGCCATTTGTTAGGAATCGAGTAAACTTTTAATTATTATATGCTCTGTGTCTATCAACGGAAACAATGAGTTACAAAATGACTGTTGGAAAAAAATTGTAACGTTACTTAAGTGTTGGCTTATTACATTCTGTTAATTTGCACTCTACTTGTGCAATATAGGAAATGTGAACGAACAACACGGAAAATATCTGCAGAGAAGAAAAAACGAAATAGAGAGATAGTTATTTATATACAATACACATCAGTAAAAATTCAGGAATAACTATTGTAGCGTACTGTGTAGAAAGATGAATGTTTGAAGATTTTATTTCGAAATATTTATTTTCTTATGAGTATATATCGTTTCTCGATACGCGTCTTCTAACGCGCATCAAGTGGACAAGACCATTTTGAAAATCAGGAAACTCTTCCTACATTTGACAAGCTATAGTGTGGTTGGAGTTCATACATTGATAATAATGATGATAGATTGTTTCTCAAGAGAAACATATTGAATTAGAATAGTCAAGAAAGAAAAACATACTATGGAGATTAAACAGGTCCACATTCAGAGCTTTAGAATACAAAGACTCGCAATATTCTTATAAGATATATTTGAAAATGATTCATCTGTTGAATACAAACATCTTTTTAACCGCATTGCTTGGTTAAAAAAAAAGGAACTTTTCAAAAAGTACTCACCATCACGGCTCATGCCGAGCCGCAGACATTTCTGAAGACGGCAGTACTGGCACCTGTTTCGATTCACTCGATCTACGACGCAGTTCTTGTTACGCGGACACTGGTAGTTCACCACCGAGCTTTGTGATCGACGGAAGAATCCTTTGCATCCCTCGCAAGTGATCACTCCGTAGTGGACGCCGCTACTTTTGTCCCCACAAACCTTGCAGGGGATGATCTCGATTTGGGCTGCAACAAAACAGTTTGATCAATAAATGGTGATTATCTCGGGGCGATATTGATATATCGATATTGTGCAATATTGATACAAACTTCAATATCATTGAATTGACGATATTGATGCGAAATTGATTCAATATGCAATATTGTCTAAATAGATACAAAACTGAAATTTTGTTATATGGATATGTTATGAATTGATGCAATATGCAATACTGCATGAATCAGTACAGAATTGTAATTTTTCCTTATTGAAATGTGTGAATTAATGCAATATTGATTCAATATACAATATTGTCCCAACTAAAACAAAATTGCAATTTTCCATATGGAGATTTTGTTCAATGATGCAATATTGATACAACATGCAGTATTGCCTCAATCAATACAATATTGTTATTTCCTCATATTCAAATGTTGTGAATTGATGCAATAATGATGCAATGCGCAATATTGATACAATATGCAATATTACCTCAATCAATACACTATTGAAGCAATACGCAATATTTTCTCAATCAATGCAATATTGCACCGTTTCCATATTGAGATGGTGTTATGAATTGATGCAATATTGATATAATATGCAATATTGCCTCAATCAATACAATATTGTAATTTTCTCATATTCAAATGACGTGAATGGATGTCATATTTTCTCAATCAATACAATATTTCAATGTTTCCATATCGAATTGGTGTTGTGATTTGATGCAATATTGATAAAAATATGCAATATTGCCTCAATCAATACAATATTGTGATTTCCTCATATTCAAATGTTGTGAATTGATTGAATAGATGCATTATTGATACAATATGCAATATTGCCTCAATCAATATAATATTGTTATTTCCGCATTTTGAAATGTTGTGAATTGATGCAGTATTGATGCAATACGCAATATTTTCCCAATCAATGCAATATTGCACAGTTTCCATATTGATATGGTGTTGTGAATTCATACAATAATGATATAATATGCAATATTGCCTCAATCAATACAATATTGTAATTTTCTCATATTTAAATGACATAAATGGATGCCATATTGTCTCAATCAATACAATATTTCAATGTTTCCATATCGAATTGGTGTTGTGAATTGATGCAATATTGATAAAACATGCAATATTGCATCAATCAATACAATATTGTGATTTCCTCATATCCAAATGTTGTGAATTGATTGAATTGATGCAATATTAATACAATATGCAATATTGCCTCAATCAATACAATATTGTTATTTCCGCATTTTGAAATGTTGTGAATTGATGCAATATTGATGCAATACGACGCAATATTTTCTCAATCAATGCAATACTGTACTGTTTTCATATTGAGATGGTGTTATGAATTGATGCAATATTGATACAATATGCAATATCGCCTCAATCAATACAATATTGTAATTTTCTCATATTAAAATGACGTGAATGGATGCCATATTGTCTCAATCAATACAATTTTTCCACCTTGAGATGGTGTTGTGAATTGATTCAGTATTAATACAAAATGCGATGTTGTTTCATCAATACAATATTTTATTGTTTCAATATGGAATTGTTATTTCCTTACTTTGAAATGCTGTGAATTGATGCAATATTGATGCAATACGCAATATTTTCTCAATCAATGCAATACTGCACTGTTTTCATATTGAGATGGTGTTGTGAATTGATGCAATATTGATACAATATGCAATATTGTTCGAAAAACATAAATAACGTTTATTTTTTCAATATTATGAAAGATAGTAATATTGATTTGGCAATAATGTTCAAGTGGAGATTGAATGAAAAACAAGGGGAGTATATATTGAGAATTGAGAAGCAAGTTACCAAATCAGAATCAGAATTGTTGTGATATTGATAACAAATGTTGAAAAATGCCATTGAGGTTTCAATATTTCTCATACGATGGTATTGAAACAATATTATATTGATTACCATATTGTTACTAACGATATTGAATAAATGTTCTTATATTGAAATCAATGAGGAAGATGCACTGTATGTGTTGCAAAGCAATATCGTCGTTGATATAGATACAATATTGTACCACCACTGAACAATATCGTGACCGAGTCTTTTTCTAATGACAATTTGGGAAGGACCACAAAAAATCCGATCATCAAGAAGATAAACAAAAAAATCTTCCGTACTTTTACCTCGGATAGATTTCGAACTCTTCTTATCCTCCTTGTCGTCGGACTGTTGGGGCGGGGGTGTCGTGGAATCGGCGACCGAAACGTTGTCCCCCCTCAGCACCTCCCGACTATCGCCTGCCGTACTCCAACTATCCCCTGCACCGAACAAATCAGAAAGCGAGTCCATTTTACGACGCACGAGTCACTTTTTTTTCCTGGCCTCGACCTAACAGGATGGCTAGAGCGCATGGCCGAAGGTTGCCGTACCTCCGGGTTGTATTGAAAAATTGTTTTTTTTTTGTTTTTCCGAGTTACTTTTCCCGGGAAGCGAATGTTTTTTACAGGTCGTTGATGACGTCGATTTCCATTATACCTGTGAGGGGGTGGAAAAACAACGAGAAACTGTTCGGAATATACAGGGTATAACTAAATAGGTGTAAAACATTTGAGGAGGTGATTCCTCATCGAAAAAAGAATGGATGTTTCATATATAGAAACTTCTTTAGATTAGTTTCGTATTTTCGCATTTATGACGATGTATCTCTGTAGTTGTTCCTAAAATAATTTTTTGCTGCGAACTGGTTTATTTTGGGCAAAAAAATGTTCTACGAAGAAAAATGAAAACATCAATATAAAAACGTTACAAAGATGTCTGGATCATGCACGGAGGTTTATTTTAGATACAAACTGAAAGAGAAAATCCAGCTGAAACAATCACATTCCAATACGAATTATACGAAAATCGGTCATCAGTTTTGCAAACACTTGTACTTGTGTTGGAACATGTACTTCATAACAAATATTAGGAGTAAAAACTTAATGAGAAGAAGTGATTTTCTTGTTGTGCGAGTAGTTGTTCCAGATTGACTTAGTTTTTCAGATGGTATCTGATAAAACGTCTGTGCATGATATATACGTCTTTGTCGAGAATTTACTCCCATTCTCAGTAACTTTTCCACTCAATTTGTAACATTAGAGAATAGAAGACTAAAAGGCGTTTTTTAAATTGTTCCGGCTCACCCTTTACAATGTGTTTCAAATTCGATCCTCACCATTGAGATTTTGTAATAAATTTCTATCATATCTCTTTTTTCTTCATTTGTGAAAGCCATATTTCGCCAAAAATTCAATAACAAAATGTCATTGAGGGTAACAATTCGCGAAAGTCAAATTTAGAAACATCATAGTCAAAACCTATTATGATAAGACTCAATATTTTTCAATATCTCCAATTTTTCTAAAAAGAATGAGAACTTATGATACATCATTGAAAAGGTAAAACCTGTAGCGCCCATAAGAAAGAATAAAGTTGATGATGGTGCCTGGAAGACGAAACGTCGAATAGTAAATCTGAAAACACCATTATGTAGCAGGGAAAAAGTGGAAATGTGGAAGTGCAATTTATTTTCGAATCCTTCGAAAAATAAAGCCAGAAAAAAGTAAAAACCAATTTCCGGAATTTCTGTTTTTTCCGGATATCTCCGGATATACTCGGAATTTCAGGACTTTCTCAACGGCACATCGTAAGTCAGGTAAATGCGCAACTTTGCCCCAATTTTTAACCATCGTTGTATCTCTCATAGTTTCCGAGATCCCAATGGTGAGGATCGAATTTGAAACACCCTGTATACTTCATTTCAATTTGCCAACATCGAAAAAGATACTTCTTCGTACCGGACGTTTCCAAGCGTTTTTCCACCCGGAAAAACAGCTCACCCACCAACTTTCCTATTAGCAAACTTTTTCGCCTAATTCTACGGGAGCACAGAAAAAAACCCTTCGTCGCCGTGCCAATCTACACGTCTCAACTCTTTTCCAATCAATGCGGATGGGCCACACGTTCTCCCTCCTACTTGTCTAGAGAGAATCCGAGGCGATAAGAAATAAGAAACGTACACTGGCCCGGGTCATTGGTAAATCAACACAAACAGAAATATTTCGAGAGTACGGAGCGGTCGTTGACCCGACATAGGCGGCGACAGAGGCTGGGCAAAGGGGCGATAGAGGTTGACCGGCGTGTGGGGGATGGAATTTATGAAAAAGGGGGAGCTGCTGATTCACAGTAGGCAATGTTGAAAATATTGTTGATAATAATAATAATCACAATAATAATAATCAACTTTATTCATCATAAGAGTGACGGATATCAACTAGATTAGGCCACGAAAACTTCTAAATGTGTATCAGAGATGAAGATCATCAGATGGAAAGTGAGTTTGGTATAGTCGAAGTAAACGATATTGTGCACTCTTGAAGTTGTCGGCACTCTCAAAGGCCAAAAAACCAATACATAGAAATGAACCGGCAGCAAACTAGTCCACGCGGAATGTAGACTTGACGGTTCGTATTGGTTAACAGAGTTTTATGATTGGCTGAAAAGTCATAAAATCAAATTCGAAGTCATGTTACGGTGACGAATAGAAATCGGGAATGCGGGGATGGTTATCGACGTCGTGTTCAGTTCAGGAACTGATCGCGATTTGAGTGTTGAAATTCGATATTGGTGCAGTTATAATTACTCAAAAATGTTTGTTATCTGTTTAAAATGTGGCGTGTTTGGACAAATACTAATAGTAATAACGAGTGTGATAACAACGCAGACTTTTTCCTACAGGTGAAGCTAATATAAAGCGTGTAAAAACAATATACGACTGTTACAAAAGCAATGTGATTCCTACAACTGGAATCATAAGGAAGAAGTTGAATATTCCGGCCATAACGTGAGCTGCTGTGACAAAACTCTTCAGAATTGGATAAAGAAACTAGGATTTAGATGATATATTAAACCCATACAATTCAAATTAATACCACAGTAGTTATCGCAAAATCAAAACTGTCGCGCGACAAAAATAATTCAAGCGGCCTCACACACCGTAGTCAATCACTTTGATATTTGAAGTCGCAGTTTTTGTGTGCTATAGGTAGATCCATATAAATGTATAGGCTGTTGTATACATGGTTTTCAACACAGGAGCTCAAAATTCTTGTGTGGGAAATAAAGTTAACGATTTCAATTGATTGTTCCCTGTCTATTCGATGAATAAGGTATTTGATGGAAATTGAAATTTCATGTCTGATGGTATCAAAAGTTTTAGATTATTCAATTAAGATAAGAGTATGTAATTGGTTGTTATCCAACGGCTACTCACCAATGTAGATGATGAGCAGCTCAGTTGTCTATTCTGAACCCTGATTAGTATATTGGAAGTATGTTATTTCTATTAAGATCGCCAGTTCGTGGCAACATTCGTTTTGCCAATTTGATATAAGTGATGAAAATAGTTGTACAACCCTTCTGTTACATAACTTGATAAAAAAAAGGTTTTAATACATATTTACAATGTTTTACATCACTAATTAAGTCAACTGATTGTTTATCCCTTTTTCTGATAACTTCCAAACAAATACCATTTCTATCATTCATAATTTTTTGAATTGAAATTTTTCAATTGGTATCGCTACATTTCAAATCTCCCGCCATTTCAGTGCTTATCCTGGTGGAGGAGCCGTCAATTTATGAAATTTCATTGAGTTCTGTTGGTATCGGTATATACTGTGATGACACTTTCTTGAAAATGAGTTCCATGTTTCATGGTTATTTCGCTCCATTTCCACATTTCATATTTTTGACAAGACATTTGACAGTTGACATGACCTCCATGAATGTTAACAAAATGTAAAATTTGGAACCCCCGGCTTGAAATTAATCTGTTGAAAAGTCTTCTTCCACACTAGGACACTCGTTTAAAAATCAAATCCTCATAGATGAATTCATTAAACTCGTTCCAAAGACAAACGAAAATACTGGTGGGTAAAACAACTATTCTGTGATCCTTGACAAATATTCAACTATCCAACTATCGAAGTCTTTGGAAACATGGCCATAAAGAGTGACTAACTAGTTATAAAACTGCGAAACTTTTCCAAAGGTGACTGACCCAGCGAGCTCGACCCACACAGCAGTCATTTTGATGATCGATATTCTATTTTGGTTGATGTTTTCAGCAGTATGGCCCATGAATGAGCCCCTATAAAGTACCATCATACGTGAGAGTGATTCGAAAACAATAATAATTACAACTGGAACCTTGAGCTACAAATGAAAAAAGCTATCCAGACATTTGGGTGTATAGCTCTGGCTCCTGATCGGATTCCCTATTTTCCAGTCTTTAATTGAATGCACTTGCATTCAGAACATGGAAGAACGCATGTTTATCTCTTCATGTAAAAATTTGGGACGTAACTATTTATTTTTAGAGCGCTAACTTGAGCAACTAATGAACTTGGTCTTGTTTCGTTCGACGAGCGATATTTGACACCGATAGGCTTCCATGTCGATGATATTTATTGAGAATCACCGGAGGGAGAAGGTTATTTTGTCGATTGTTGAAAAAATTCGATATACCACCCACACACTTACTTAAAGCTACAAGAAATTTGTGACACTGTCAAACAATCTGGAATTCCTTCTGAAGAAAAAGTTTGTCCTAATTTTATTGTTCATTAAACTGACATTCCCATGTGACCCACAAAATAAAAAAAACTTTCTGATTTACGACACACAGCTGAAAATTCTTGTTTTAACGTCCCTGAATCCAGTTTTCTCAATAGTTCAATTGCAAATAAGTTATTGACTTTCGACAAATTGAAAAACAGATCTCCGAAACGAAAATTCGCTAACTAACGTCGAATAGTCCGTTCATTAACACATTATCATTGCCAAATGGCTGGGTAATTTTACACGCTTTTATTAGCTCCACCTGTATGTATGTAGGTATGTATGTTTGTTTGTAAGGCTCGGTATCTGTATATGACAGAATTATTGACATTATTGCTTGATCTATTCGCGAGTAGATGGCACTGTACGTACGTGTTTTAAGATTATTAAAAAAAAATATTTTCAACCTTTCAGTTCGATGTCCTTCAAAAGCGTGTTCTTTAAACTATATTTATTTTCATATTTGTACAGAATTTTGCTACGACATCGTGTTCAATATAACCATTATTAGCCTCTCGTAGTGTTGTTTACTTCTGAAAAATTGAGCTTTAAACCTTTAAGAACGTTAACAAAAGTTAGCCCACGTGGTAATTTTATGACTCTAGTCAATTTTGACAGGTTTGAAGGTGTAAATCATGGATCATTTTGGCTACTTACTCAACAAGAAACGGTAAAATAGTTGATGTTTTTTTTTAATAGCCATAGAAAAACTTATTAATGATTTTAGGTCCTCATCATCGTCAAATATTCATGATTTGGAAACTAAAAGCATTTGGAAGTTCAAATTAATATTCAACTTTCGACATCATTGCAAAAGTAAGTGGATTGAAAAGAAAACTCAAAGATCCTTCATTTTTTGGGGATTATCCAAAATAGTTTCCCCACCCCGTACATACTGGCGGGCCATTCCAATCATCATCATTCTCAGAACTCGAGTTTAAGAAAATTAACACGTTATTTTGGGTCAATGAACCCCGTGAAGAGTGATTGGGGGGCTATGGTCGAAAAAGCTTCAGAACCAGAGTCCAAAGGACGTTATTCAGTCGAAATTTCCTGCTTCAAAAACTGTTTCGTGTCTAACAAATCGATCGTCGACGAATTTTTCTGGTAGCGAGCTTTCGGAGGTGCGGTCTTATCCGAGGGCCATTGAACTTGGGGTTATTCACCGCCGAATATGGAGAGATCGTTAAAAGTCCGGAGAAAAAAGTTCCGAGACCCATCCGCGTGAAAAAAAAAAGAGTGCGACGTGTGCCGGCTATTTTTAATCGATAAGCGAATGACCGATAACTTACAATAACAGAGTGACAGAGATACAGTGTCGCCTATCTGAAATTTCCCTAAACTCGACGAAAATTACCGGCTGGCAGAGGCCTACCTTCGGTCAGGAAGAGAACCATCACTATTTTTTTAAACGGATTATGTAAGAGGACTTCGCGCCGTTGAGTTTCACAACACTTTCTAATATTAAACGAACACACTGCACTTTGTCGCTGCCGGAACAAACTGACGAGTCGGCGAACTTGCCACCTGTTTGGACCCACTAAAAACCAAAAATCACCAACGGCGGGCCCGTTGGCCCGTCCTCGAGGCGCTACACGCGAAAAATTCTCCGAACCAGGAAGAAACGTCGCGTATTTCGGACATTTTTTTCAAGAAAGGCCGTCCCGGCAAATTATCCTCGTATCTGTGTAGTAATACGGGAATGTTCTCCATGCGGAGATCTTTACTACTGACTCCGTCTTCGTCGCGATCGGAGCAGGGAGTTTCGTGCGGCCCGCGACGTACGTCTGAGCGTCGGTTTCGGTGACGTAGGGTTCCCCACTCGCGAGGAAAGGTCAACGTACTCGGTGTACACACTATGATTGAACGCACAGGCGGGTGTCGAGGGTTTCCCGCGGGGGCGAGGATCTGGGAGCGCTGACTAGATTTTTGTGAGGCGGTAAGGGTTAGCAACTGAGTTCGGGGACGGTTTACTGCACGGAAATCGCCGAAAAAATACTTGAAAGCTTCTGAGTTAGTAGGGAATAGTGTCAAGGACACAATTTGCAGATCTCCAGTTCTACGATACATTCGTCAACTTGAGAGACACACAATTCTACGAAACAGAAATCTTATTACACAACACAGGCTTCAAATATGACGTAAAAAAGTGTGTGCGTACTTATGTAGGCACGTAAGAAGTCATACTTCATTTTTAGAAGTGATAACTCGTTAGTTAATGCGTAACGGCGATAGTTTGTCTGCCTTTCCTTTTTTCACGCATGCTTCAGCTAAAGGCAGACTCCTTCTCTCTCTCGTCGGACAGACGCTCAGTGTTTTGTGTGCGTTAGACACATACTGTTGACAGTAGTATGAAAATCTAACCAGCAAGCATGTAATATTCTTTTATGTGAAACGTTGCTTAAAAATGATGGTACTAATTTTGCGTGGGTACATTTTTAATATCATTATTAGTATAGTCGAAGTAAGCGATATAGTAATCTTAAAGGTGTCGGCGAAGTCAAAGGGCAAAAAACCAATACAAAGGAATGATGCCTCAATGAATTAGTGCGCGCGGACTGAAGAATTGGCGGTTCGTATGGATAATTCTTACTAACCGAGTTTTATGATTGGCTGAAGAGTCATAAAATTAAATTTGAAGTAATGTTATAGTGACCAACAGAATGTAGCGATGAGTAACGCGTTGTGTGTGTTATTAAAGGGGCACTGCTGGAAGGTAGGGGGCACTATATCTTTTACTTGAACTATACATACATGTATTCCGAATATTTGAAATTTCAAGATTACTTCATGAATGAACCATTTAATTTAATTTAATGTTTGGTATAATTTAATTTTTCCGGACTTTAATAATCATTATTTGTATCTTTTATTAATTTATTAATTCATTCGTGCACTTATTACATATTAATGTAATAATGTATTGATTTATTTTAGTTTTAAGATGGTTATTAATAATACATACCCGCAACTAACCTCAAATTCTACAAACGTACTCAAAGTAATATGTAAAAACCACTTTCATCACTCATATCCACAGTAGATTATCTTCAAATCAATAAATTGTTGATACATATCAATTACCACGATATATTATTTGAAAAAAATTATAATTATGAACATTTACAGTAAAATTGATTAACGAGGTCTCTCAGTCAAAAAATCAAAACTCTGCTCTACTTTGCCAAGCTTTCGCTTCTGATGGAAATCTTCTTCAGGGCCTATATAATTTACTTATAGTAAAAATGCGTCAAAAACAATGCATTGAACATATAAATTGACAAAAGAAAGTTAAACATGAATTTTTCTGTTTTGAAAAATGTCATATCTTCACATAAATGTCATTTTTCAATGGACATTATGATTTGACAATCTTTGACTGTCTCTTTTACAGTCATGGGTTACTTGGGAAGCCCTCCCAAAACAACTACTTTCACGTAAACATTGAATAACACTTTCGCAACAACTACTTTTATATGAAAATTGTAGCAATCCTGTGGATTATATCTGATTGAATTCCATAATGAATGTTTGCTGTACAAATCAATTAGTAAAAATCGTTTTTTGTATCATTTGTACCGCACTGAACATTATAATCTAACAAATTTGACGATCCTGCAATGAGATAACGTAAATCTGATCAATTGACCTTGCGCCCTCTTGAAAAATACTTGTCGGTCACCATGCAAAAAAAATTAATTCTTATCATAGGTTTTAAGCTCATTTGAATATAATACAGAAATATGGAGTATGTCACATTTGAATGGTTCTCACGATTTTTCAAGGTATGCCGATCGTTGTTGAGGTACATGCCGCATTATCAGCTGGAGAAGAGTTGAGATACGCTCTTGATGATAACAGTTTAGTTGACGAAACATGGGAATGGGGATATATCTATTATTTACGGTGAATCCTAAATGTCACGGAGTTATATGAACTGAATTATTCAAAGGAATTCAAAGAAATACATATCATCTCAAAAATGAGAGGAAACGAGATAATAAAATTGCATATAGAACAAGTAATACGTCGGGAAAGTTAGTTGAAAATAAAGACAAAACATCGAGAAATCAGGAGTATATATATAGTATATGTATAGTGTCCTAAGGTATATATTGGTCAAACTAGCAGAACAAGTAGGAATCGAATCCAGGAACATCATACGAGCTATGTAAATAAGAAAACATATTGAAATCATCTTTTAGAAGAAAAATCATAATTCAAACGAATAGTTCGAACTTTTACATACAGAAAATAAAGCTTTGAAACTGAATCATTTGGAAGAAATTCAAATTATTAAACTTAAAAATTCAAACATTCTAATAAATGACCAACTGGATTTGAATAGATCACCAGTATTGAACTTGTTTTCTTAGAAAAACCGAGAAAGAATTAGGATTATTGATGTAAAAGTTAGGTAATATGTTTCAGGTAATCATAATTGAGGAGGTGCCTCAGGTATATAAAAGTAGTATTGAGAAGAAAATTGATCAACTTTCTTCTCCTGAGGATGCTAACTTA